ATGAAATTTAAATATTCTATGTATATGGCAATATTGACAATCTCGGCAATATTTTGTACTAGAAAATGAATTAATTTTCTTCACGTGTAAAGGCCGCAATACATTACCCGTAAAACAATTGTGCGTTAATAAATTTGACTACATAACCCAATAAATCTTAAATATTGCATCTTTGATCATCTGTGAATAACTTACATCGGCTTCTTTTTTATTTTGAAACTGAAAGTATTATGGTTCCGTAATAATAAATTTCAAATACCTGCTTTTTACATAAAAAATGTAAATTTACCGCGGATTTCGTCAAGTTAATTTAGTCATTTAGTGATTTACGTTATTTATCCAATATGCAATGATGCATTTCTTTTAGTCTAAGTAATAGTAATTTTAAATTCTCATTTCCTCATTTTATATTTACGTCTTGGTTTCCAGCCAAAGGACTCGGTAATAGGTTGCAGTTTGTGAGTCTGATATCATGATAATTTGTTTTTATTGTAGTTTATCTTAAAGTAAAATGTCTAATGCTTATTAATTTTATCAATTACTTCCGAGTATATTGATTACCATGCATGTAATATAAATCCGTGATACATGGTAGAAGTCAGATATTTTTTTATTCATTACAGTTTTCTATTCTCCCGTTCTATACATTTATTTCGTCAGCGTTTTCCTTCTATATCTATATCGTCCGCTTTTTCACTATATGTCTATATTGTCCGCATTTTCTGTAGCCACTTTATTAATTGTACAAGGGTGAGATGTATGATTAATTGAAATATACAAGTGTCGGTGCGTGATTAAGTCAAATACACAGGTGACACGTGGATACTTTAATTAGTTGATTGGTATATATATCAGAAAGTTTCTTTTATTAACTTAATGGATAAAATATAAATAAAACATAAAAATATTATGAATTAAAGAAAGTTAATTGATAAAAAATTAATTATATACATGGTAGAAGTCAGATGTTTTTTTATTCATAACAGTTTTCTATTCTCCCGTTCTATACATTTATTTCGTCAGCGTTTTCCTTCTATATCTATATCGTCCGCTTTTTCACTATATGTCTATATTGTCCGCATTTTCTGTAGCCACGGTGAGATGTATGATTAATTGAAATATACAAGTGTCGGTGCGTGATTAAGTCAAATACACAGGTGACACGTGGATACTTTAATTAGTTGATTGGTATTTATATCAGAAAGTTTCTTTTATTTACTTAATGGATAAAATATAAATAGAACTAAAAAATATTATGAATTAAAGAAAGTTAATTGATAAAAAATTAATTATATACATGGTAGAAGCCAGATGTTTTTTTTATTCATAACAGTTTTCTATTCTCCCGTTCTATACATTTATTTCGTCAGCGTTTTCCTTCTATATCTATATAGGTATGCGCATGCGTAAGAAATGGTGGTCAAATTTTGTCTAGCTAAGAAAAATGGATATTTATTTCAAGTTTATAAGTTTATAAGTGACTAAAGTGGATATTTTGGATCTATTAGTGTTGAAGTGGGTCATATAAATTAACTTTGATGACAAGAAAACGCAAAAAGTCGAAAACATCGCCTGGAGAAGAAAAACTAAATACTTCTAACAAACGGCGCGAAAATAAACAAAGGCAAACAAAGGACAACATGGATAACGATAAAGGTCAGAAATTATGCTCAGATAGCTCAAAAAGTGAGATAAATTCTCCGCACACCTCACAGTATGGTAATACAGGTGTGGGGTATATGAATTCACCAAGCATGAACATAGCAGCTGGCCCATATCAGACCTGGGGATTGATAAATCCGGGACTGACCCAAACACCACAGACACCGTCCAGCCCTTTGGGGGCAATAAGTAGTGATATAGTTTCAGTTCTCTTGCAAAGATTAGACAGCATGGACAGTAAATTAGCCAAATTAGAAACTATACAAACAAGTGTGAACTCACTGAATTTACGCATTCAAAACATGGATAAAAAAATAAACGATCTCGAAAGAAAAGTTCTCGATATTGAGAGAAGTCGAGAATTCGACAGCCAAACATTTTCAGAAATAAATAAACAACAGATTTTCAGATTTCAGATTTTATTTTCAATATATGCAAAAGTCCCACAATAGCGGGAAACATAAGCAAATTGTGACATACATAAATGCATACATACAAACATAGAATCACATAACATAATGTAGTAGAAAACGGATATTGAGATTTCCAATAACAGAGCCTAACACATTCATATTTATTTAAACCATACAATTCAGCTGGGTATATATATGTAAGTGAAAAGAGTAATTATTACAAAATTCAATCATCAAAGACACACAAAAAGAAAAAAGGTCATAAGTTATCTTTCGCATATAGTAATTTAAGACATGATTTAAAATTGTATAGTAAAACACATCAAGTTCTAATAAAATGTTGCATTATTTTCATACAAAAAATACTAAGATTCTTTAGTTTATTTGTATTTTCCGATGTGACCAGGCTTTCATTGAACGCCGCCTTTCCTTGTTGATCTTGTTTATCATATTTTACAAATTTAAACATACTTGGCCTATTTATGTAAAAATTATCTATGTATATTTTTCTATAATTTTCAAATTCTGGACATACAAAAAGATAATGAAATTCATCGCCAATATCGTTACATGTATTACATTTACGGTCTTGAATAGGTATATTCTGCCATCGTCCTATTTCAATTGGAAGGCGATGATTTCTTGTCAAAAATAGTAATAATTTATTAGCTAAATTGCTTGGTAGTTTATCTATGTAACAGCTTCTAGAAAAATCCTTTTTGATATATTTGTAAACGTTTGTATCAGAAGTGTTATTTAGTTCAGAACGCCAATTTTGCGAGTAAATATCTTTTAACTTTTGAAATGTTGTTTTTATCAACCACTTACTATTGCTAAAACTTTCTATGTACCAAATCCCAGAAAAACCAGTTTCACATAAATATTGTTTTACATTTTCTATCCACAGTGATTTAACTTTATTATCTATATGTAATTTACGTAAGAAAATATATACCTTTGAAGATAATTTTGTTGGTTCATCACTATTGATATTTTCAATAAGTCTTGCCCAAAATGTAATTACTCTGTGTTTGATGTGCACACTGAATGGTAGAGTACCTGTTTCACCATATATCATATAAGACAGGGTTGACTTTTTAAATTTAAATATATATTCGAGAAATTCAGCTGAATTTTCTCTAAAACATTAACATTTCCATATCCCCAAATTTCGCTTCCGTACAGTAAAATAAGCTTGATAGTTTTTTCAAATAATTTAATTTGTAGGTCAAATGGTAAAGTCAAAGTTTAAATTTCCCTCAGTAATGTAAATAGTGCCTAATTAGCTTGCTCAGCTATTTGTATTTTAGATTTATAAAACGAACCACTTTTATTGAAATATATCCCTAAATATTTATATTCATTTACAATTTCCAAGACATGTTGCCCAATTTTTAAAAACATTATTTATGTTTGGACGCCCTTTACTAAATATCATAACTTTGGTTTTATTTACATTAATATTTTATTTCCACGTTTCACAATATAATTTAAACTGATCTAAAGCCTTTTGAAGATCAATTTCATTTTCACTGAAGATCACGTGTATCGTCGGCATAAAGCAAAATAAAAAGTTTAAGATAGACATGTACGCCTTCAATAATTGTATCTCTTGAAACTCCGTTAATATCGTTGCTTTGTAAAAAAGTATTCCAAGTCATTCAAAAATATAGAAAATAAAAATGGCGATAAATTTTCCCCTTGTCGTACCCCAATTAAACAATCGAAAAAGGGGGTGCTTCCTTCATTTGTGCTTACTCGAGACTTAATATTTTCATACAAACTTTTTTATAACGTTAAAGCATTTTCCATTAATATTTTCTTGTCTTAATTTTTGCCATAGTCCTATTCTCCATACAGAGTCAAATGCTTGCTTAAAGTCTACAAAACAACAAAAAAGTTTTCGTCTGCTTGACTGGACAATATCGATTAAGGACTTTAGAATGAATATATTATCAACTGTCGAATGTTTCTTACGAAAACCAGCTTGTGTCTCATGTATAAGATTTGAGTCATTTGCAAATTTATTTAACCTATTATTTATTATGCTTGTAAAAAGTTTTCCGAGACAACTCAAAAGAGATATGGGACGATAATTTTCTGGTAATTTTGGATTTCCTTTGTTTTTGTATATGGGTTTTATAGTTCCTATTGTCCAGCTTTCTGGAATTACTCCTTTGTCAAAAACAATATTGAATAATTTTTTATATATACTTAACATTAAGTTAATTGAATTTTTTATTTGTTCATTAACAATTTCATCTACACCTGGTGATTTATTTGTTTTTAGATTTTTAACATTATCTAATATTTCCTTTTCTGTAATTGGGCCATTTATGTCCTCATTTTCAGTAAAAGAGTTTCTTATACCGTTATATTGATACTCTTCATTTGAGTTTACATCTTCATTCAATGTTTTAAAATACTCGTAAAAACTATCTAATGAAGCCATGTTTTCTTGTTTAGTGTTTTTTCCATTAATAGTTTGCCAGTATTGTTTTGGATCAGCGTGTTTTAACATACGTAATTTTTCAATTTTTCTCTCATTAAAATCATTATTCGCTTGGCGTAAAGTGTTTTTATACTGTTTACTAATTGACCTTAATAATTCTTTGAAATAGGGGGTTTTATATTTGTTGTAAGCTTTTCTAGTTTTGTGATATTTATCACGCATATTTTTACATGAATTGTCAAACCATGGGAAATAATTTTTTATATTAACATTTTTGTTTTGATTTTTCTGAGTTATCTCTCCAAATGACTGTTTAGAACAATTAGTAAACAGAGTGGAAATGTCAGAAACTATTTCATCTAAGTCGTTCTGTACAACTATGCTTTTTTCTAATACTTTATCAAGCATTAATTCAATTTCAGAGATTTTAGATAGATCAAGAACAGAAAGGTTTGGATACTTACATGAAAAAAATGGAAAAGTTCGAAAAAGATCATAAAGAAATGGAAAACGCATTAAAGGCAGAAATAATAGACCTTAAATCCCGCAGTATGCGCGACAATTTACTGTTTCATAAGCTACCGGAAGAGAAAGACGAAAACTGCGAGGAAAAAATAAAGCATTTCATCCAAGATAAATTGAAGATCGATAACGCCATTGATACGATACGGCTACAGAGGGCTCACCGGGTAGGTCCCTTTAAGGCGGGCAAGAGTCGACCGATAGTGGCCAAGTTCACGGAGTTTCACGATCGTGAAAAAGTCCGACGAGCAGCGAAAGAACTGAAAGGATCAAACTTCGGGATTTCAGAGCAGTTCCCTAAGGAGATCGTGGAGCAGCGAAGGAAGCTTATACCTATCATGCTACAAGCTAGGAAGGATGGCAAAGAGGCTTACCTTAAAGTTGACAAGCTATATATAAACAATCAGCTATATCGCGGATCTACATAGGACTCTTGTGAGAATGTACTTAAGTGTCTTTCGTGGAACATAGAAGGACTAACCTATGAGAAAACAACATCACAAGAATTTTTGAATATTGTGTGTGAGTATGAAATAATATGTCTAAGTGAATCATGGACAAATAAGAACTCCAATATTGATATTCACGGTTACTCAAATCCTATTCATTCTTATCGAAAAATTCAACATAGGCGAGCAAAAAGATCGAGTGGTGGTTTAATTGTTTACATTAAGAACAATATCCGAAACGGTGTCACATTAATACAAAATACAATAGACTGTATTATCTGGCTAAAGTTAGATAAGTTTTTTTTCAATATTGAAGACGATTATTATATATGTTTTACTTATATTGCTCCGGAATCTTCGCCGCTGTAGGTATAAGGAGAAGTCATACTATAAGTTTGATGATAGATACAGGGAATTGTTTACACTCGATTTAACTAATAACATACAGTCTTTATTAAATATTTTAAATACAGAAATAAGCGGTGACGGAGATGTTGATACGCTTACTTCTATGTTTACGAACTTTCTGTGTACGCACGGTGACAAGTATTTTAAAAGATCATCTCACGAAACGTCAAATATCTGTTATCAAGTACGTAAAAAGAATGAAGAATGGTTTGATCATGTATGTCGGAGTAAATATGACACATATAAAAAAGCAGTTACGCAATTTAACCTAACGTTGTCTGGTGCGGATAGGGTTTCAATGTATAACGCAAAAATGGATTATATATACCAATGCCGAAAATCCAAAAATTCTTTTAATTATGAACGCGGCCGAAAAATGAACCAAATACGAAGAACATCTCCCAGGGAATTCTGAAAAATGTTTAAACAAAATGAAACCAGTAAATGTGAGGAAAATATATCTAATCAAGAGTTTAATGACTACTTTAGAAATCTTTTGGGGGGATGTTCTGTGTGATGATCAAGAATTTGCACGGAATTTGAAGGACTTTGATACCGATTTAAATCGACAATGTAATAATGAGTTGTTGGACTTGCCAATATCTGATGACGAAATTTTAAAAGCAATAAAGAAGTTAGGGTCAAATAAATCACCTTCAATTGATAATATTTTATATGAGTATTTTAAGGTAGCTGCCCCTCTTTTAGTTTATCCTCTGAATTTATTTTTTAATCAAATTTTAAATTCTGGCAAGTTCCCTCGTGCTTGGTCCACTGGAGTAATTATACCTATATATAAAAAAGGGAACCAGTCTGATCAAAATAACTACAGGGGCATCGCTATTACCAGTTGTTTTGCAAAACTATTTACTGTTTTACTTAATGAAAGATTAAAAACATGGGTAGAAATGAACAACGTTTTAACTGATGCCCAATTTGGCTTCAGGAATAAATATAGTACTGTAGATCCTGTTTTTTATTTTAAATGCATTAATTCAAAAGCAACTTCTGAACAAAAATAAACTGTACTGTTGTTTTGTAGATTATAAAAAAGCTTATGACTCTATCGAGAGAAGTAGGCTATGGTACAAATTTATAAAACTAGGAATAAATGGTAAATTCCTGTCGGTATTAAGATCAATGTACAGCGAAGTGAAACTTTGTATAAAACATTTAGGGAGCCTATCTGACTTTTTCAATAGTAATTTAGGTTTGTTCCAAGGAGAAATAACTTCGCCGATTTGCTTCTCTTTATTTTTAAATGATATAGAAATGCAATTACAGGAAAATATTGACGCTGGCATAAATATTGATCAAATTGCGATATATTTGCTCCTATTCGCTGATGACGCGGTAATTGTCTCTGAAACAAGTACTGGGTTACAGAAATCACTAGATAGTTTATACTCTTATTGTTGTAAATGGAACCTTACAGTTAACATAGAAAAAACTAAAGTTGTAGTGTTTAGGAAAGGGGGGAAGTTAAGAAGAAACGACAAATGGTATTATAATAATCATGAAATTGAAATAGTCAAGTCTTTTAATTACCTAGGGGTTGTATTCTCCAGTGGAGGGTCTTTTATGCAAGCAGCAAACACATTAGCCGGGAAAGGGTTGCGATCTCTACATTCTTTGTGGGCTATTGTTCGTAGTATGAAAGTTCCAATAAATATATTGTTTAATCTTTTTGACTCGTATGTACTTTCTGTTTTAAATTATGGCGCAGAGGTATGGGGTTATATAAATCCAGAGGTTGTAGAAAGAGTACATAAGAAATTTTGTAAATGGATACTAAATGTTAAGCAATCTACACATACTCTAGCTCTCTATAGTGAGTTAGGTAGATTTCCACTCTATATAGAAAGACATGTTAAAATGGTTAAATATTTTTTGATGATAAATACCGTCAAGTCTGAAAATTGCATACTTAAGGCGGTTTTACAAGATCAAATCAAAAGTCTAGAGCTAAACGAATCAATAAAAAATTGGGTCTCATATATACGCGATATCCTTCAGTCTTCTGGTCTAAGTGAAGTCTGGTTATATCCTGAATCTGTTAAAATAAATGTATTTGTTCCAGTCTTACGTTGTAGGCTTAGAGATATATACATAAGTAATTGGAGAACGGGGTTGCAGATGTCAAGTTCCTTAAATATTTTCCGGGAGATAAAAGATACGTTTGAGCAGTCAAATTATATTAGACTATTAGAAAATACAAAATTTAGAAACGCACTGGCTAAATTACGTCTCTCTTCGCATAAACTTAACATTGAAGTCGGCCGACACTACAATATTCCGCGCGATGAACGAAAATGTACACTATGTAATTTAAACGACTTAGAGGACGAATTTCACTTTATTTTAAAATGTACAGCTTATGTCGATTTAAGAAGGCTCTATATACCCAGGTATTATTATACCCACACAAATATAATTAAGTATATATCATTAATGCAAAGTAGTAATAAGAAGATCATAAAAAATTTGGCTCTATATTGTTTTAAAGCTTTCAAATTAAGGGATTCACTATTGTAATTATATAAATTTCGTACTCAATCTGAAATCATTCCTTTTTTTGTTAATTTTTTTTCCATGTAACTTTTGAGTATTTATAAATATATTTTTTCCTTGTTACATTCTCACGATATATATGTTTAAGGAAATAATAATTCATGTATTATATGTAAAATCTTCCATGTCATACCAATATGTATATGTTCCTTTTTTCATTGTTAACGACGATGGGCTTGTAATGCTTAAGTCAAATAAAATATTTGTTCTGTTCTGTTCTGTTCTATATCGTCCGCTTTTTCACTATATGTCTATATTGTCCGCGTTTTTTTATTTCGACTTGAAGAAATATGGTATAAAGTATCATGTGTATGATTAAATTAAACACGTGCAGGATTATATCAAATATACAAGTGACACGTGGACACTTTATTTAAATAAAAAAAATGGAATCAGTATATACATAAATATATAATTTATACATTTCTTACTGTTTTATTGTCTGGTAGAACATAACATGATTCGACAGATTGTTCATATCTTATTCAGGTTGATAAAGATTACAAAGGGGAATATCATTGATATGAACTTACCGAAAAATATGGAGCAACTTCAAAAATGTCCTCTTCGAAACAAAACTGGCGTGTTTTATATCCAGGATAGGAAAACACACTGTACGAATGTTGACACAAATAATCACTCATATATTTTACTTGACTGTGTCCTACAACGAATGCCATTTTAACAATGCCTTAGTGAAAACACTTTATACAATATTTTACACAATTACACTTTAAAAGTTAAAGAACACAATAATTTAATAATCCAATTCAAATTAACACTTTGTAAGCAATGGAATGAATTCAAAGCATGTAACTTTTTTTTTTTGGAAATGAGGGATGTGCACAAAAATTGACTGTATATATACCTTACCATTAACAGTTTTACCATTAAATAAGTTGCAATTGCAAAGTTGTGAAAAAAAATACAAAAGATCAAAAACATAACGACTGAAATTAATTTCATGATTGGTCCCAATGTTGTTTTTTTCTATATTGTTCTTTGAAATTTATGTCTTAATTGCTCAATATCTAAAGAGCCGACAATTTTAATAATGTGACAAAGTCATTCACACTTAATTGTAATGCTTTAAGTTAATTTGCAACACGTGTATTTTCACCGGTAAACGATAATTTTCAAAAAAATTACTCATTCGCCCACTATTTCATAATTATATATGTACACAAAAGAAGATTCGGCTAATATGTCAATTAATGTGCAATATAGAAACAAAAGTAAATTACAAATCATAGTAAATTGTATATTTTGAAAAGAATGTCAATCTACACTATATATCTATATCGTCCGCTTTTTTCCTCTATGTCTATATTGTCAGCGTTTTCCCTATATGTTTATCATGTCCGCGAATTGCGTATGCAAACTGTTCAAATATATTCAAACTAATTCTTGTGCCCTTATTCAGTTTTCCGCACGTGACTGTTGCATGTTTTGTACTGTTTAATTAAAAGTTATTAAGTCAATTAACATGAACAAATAAAAAACATAAATTTAAGAACTTGAACAAATAAATAAACTAAAGTCTTTTTAATTATTATAATAATTACACCTTTCAGATATTACTTTATAAAAGCCAATTATTAGCCTTTAATATGAATTTAACTATGCTCTAAATTTAAGAATTTGAACAAATAAATAAACTAAAGTCTTTTTTAATTATTATAATAAATACATCTTTCAGATATTACTTTATAAAAGCCAATTATTAGCCTTTAATATGAATTTAACTATGCTCAGTCATTTTACACTATATATCTATATCGTCCGCTTTTTTCCTCTTTGTGTATATCGTCAGCGTTTTCCCTATATGTTTATATTGTCCGCTTAAGGCGTCCGCGTTTTAGACTGCGCCCCGAACACCTCGACATATTATTCGACGGTTGACGGAAAATGCCGAGTAGTTGCGAGACCGCGGGTTTGGGATTTCCCACGGTATTTTTAGGGTCTCTCTTATTTTTAAGTAAAATATGTGAAAATTATTTAGAATAGTGAAAGTTGAAGACTATCTTTTTACCTGATAAAAGTTTGAAGTGATATAAGTGACGAGACTAAAATATGGGATAATTATTTGAAATTATTTCATTGTTTTTGTACTTTCACTTTCACTTGGGGAAACCAGTAGAGATTTTCGGAAAATTGAAAGGAAATCTGAATAATTTTCAGGGCACATAACAGGTACAAACTTTCAATTTACATCTAATCAGACAAATAGTTATTATCTGAAATGAAATCCATAAGACTCACGGAATGTTTTTTTTTTAATGACAATGTCTTTGGGCTCAACTTAACACTAACTGGCCTTATGCTGTAATGAATGACGATAGTTTTGTAGGACAGTGATTTCCTGCTTATATAACAGACTCCGGTAAAAGGCTTCTTCCCAATTCAAATTTTCCTTAATCATGCAGTTTTCACAAAGATCAGAACTTAAACCTGCTGTTTTACTTTCCACATTATAGCAATTTTAGCGAAATTTAGCAAAATCAAGCGGCTATGGTTTCTTCCCAATTAAGTGAGAAAGATCACTATAGGATATGTGAAATATTATCATCAGAAACTTCACCAAAATGTTTAAAACGTATGAAATAGGAAACATTACTATAGTCCTTTAAATATGATGACGCTTTGAGATATTTTTGTTTCTTGGCAAGGCTTGACCAACATAAACTATAATTAAGAAACCTGTGACGTCTGATATATAATTGGACTAACATTACTAGAGCATGTCAATATTAAGAATCGGCAGTTGATGTTGATGATTTTATTGCGAGATATGTGAATACACTGGTACTATGGAGCCACCGGTATCATGAGAATTGCAGAAGATGAATGTAAATCAGGGTCAGTGTCTTTTTAGTCAAAATATAGAAGCATTTTGGATTTAAGGTGAAAAAATTATCGGGGAAAATGTCTTCTTTGACTGCTTTTTCAATGTGCTGAATTTATCTTTCTGACATTGTTATTTTTGTAAGAACTGACCATCAGCTGAAACTGCCTTTTTGGGAAACTGTGACTTTTTGGCAAGCTGAAATTTGTGAATAAATGATAATACAATATCTTGACACTTATGCAAATAAACCCTACATTGTTGAATCCAAAATATTGTCAAAACTGTTAACACTGCAATAGATGGCTAGTTGTATAGAGTAAAGGCTACGCTATTTTGTTGGATATTTTCCATACCGTTCCTCATTGTCAAGATGAATCCGGGTCAGCTCGGCCCTAAAACATACTCAGCCCCCGAGTCAGCTCGGCCCTATTCCAACTCGGCACGGGTCAACTCGGCCCACTTTTAAAAATGGGTAAAGGACATCAAAGGACTCCTATTGTCACGGGCTATTATTATCAATCAATGTGTATGTTAAAGATACCGATTAATTAGGTGATAATTATGATTGACTCATTCATTCAAATTTGATTAGTGACCACCTGCAATTAATTAGAAGCTTATGCTATTAAGTAAACACGTTTTTGTTTCATATTTTTTTGAAAATTACTTTACAAACAAAATGCATCTAAGGAAACACATTTTTATTATATCTATATTCACAGGCACAAGTATCGGACCTGGGAAGAAAAAATATGAAGTTATTTTATCAATCTGTTCATATTTTTTCTTCCCAGGTTCGATAATCGTGCCTGTGTCTATATTAATTTTATCGAATCTGCAAGACAAATAAATAACTTTTTTTTCTAAATATACTTTATTTCAGCAGAGGTACAATGTATAATTTATATATAAAAATAATAAGATATTTCTTATTATTCATTTACCTTAACAACATGCAAAGCAAAGTAAATACGTTATAGGCCTATATATTTTTGTAATGTGGGCCGAGTTGACCCGTGCCGAGTTGGTATAGGGCCGAGTTGACTCTTTTCCGTCAAGATATATGTAACTGTTAGTAACTACATTATAACCGTTATGAATGTGCTATAAGTGAGTAAGTAAAATAATTTTTGTGTTCAGCTTATGCACATTATTACATGTAGTCCGCAAATTGTCTCATCCAGTACATCTAAATGTTGAACACTTTAAATTATTTTATTAAACTTGAGTAATTTTATATCCAAAATAGTTATCACCTTACATTGTTGTCACAAGATTGTTTATGATGCTTTAAATTAAAATTGCCTATGGAGTCCATGTTTACAAAAGATTTGAAATGATAGAACTTAAAGTACCGAGTTTTAAGCCATTGACAAAAAAGTGAAATTCCCCTTTTTAATTTATTTTTATTAAATTTAAGATCTATTTTAGTTCAATTCAATTCAATATTTTAGGTCTATTTTAGTATATCATAAGTATCAAAATAACTTTGTTATAAAAAGGGAGTGAAATGTCTTGGTGTGAACCGTCTCAATAGTGAAACGTCTGTCTACCAGCATATCATGAGGTGAGCGTATCGTTACACCCTTAGTTTGAGGAAACATTTTACAAAGAATCATGTAAGGTCATTCATCCTTTTGCTACTTTTTTGTGGGACGATCTCGCACAGCTAAAGAAAAAGAAATTTAGCCAGATCTACAAACAAAGTCAGTGTGTGCATTTTTTTGTAGAAATTTGAGCCAAAATGTAACTAACTGTGTATGTTATTTTAACAGAGTGGTTGCCTCCATATCACCTATATATGTATCAGAGAGCATGCACTCAGATGACCTTCCTACAAAAGTTCTCCGATGGAATAAAAAACAAATTTAATCATAATTAAATTACTAGAATAAATGTTCCCCATTGATAAGGGATAGAAATACAGTATTTTGTTTTTTCTACTGGTTCAGATTTCACTGCTCCATGGACAATTCGATTTCCAATTTTCCACACCGTGAGCCCTTCTGCAATAACATCAAATCAGAATGAGAATTATCAGTGTTATTTGATACTACCTTTAGTATAGGAATAACTTAAAACTCAGTAACACACTGTAGATTGATATTCACCCATATATAATTGAAGAGTTCATGTATGTTGAATAACATTTTAATTTAACCTGAGTCTAAGAAGATACAGTCAAATTGGCATATTTAGTTATTGAACCATCATTCTGTCTTTCTGTCAATATATATGTTAACCTCATGCAGTCAACAAGTTTGATATATCTACACCGATGCCTTCATAATTTATACACTTATTTACCAATATAAACTCCATTATCTTGGCAAGTTGCATATGAATCTGTGGCTTCCTATTTTAACCAGTTATTTCCCCTTTTTATATGCCCGAAAGGGCATATTATGTTATACCCCCTGGCGTCCGTCTGTCTGTCCGTCCGTCCGTACGTACGTACGTCCGTCCGTTAGCAATTTGGTTTCCGGAGCATAACTTAAGTTCCATTTGGCCCACAATGTTAAAACTTCATAGGATGATTGTCCATATTGGGTAGAAGACCCCTATTGATTTTGGGGTCAAAAGGTCAAAGGTCAAGGTCACTATTACCTTAAAACTGAAAACGGTTTCCGGAGCATAACTTAAGTTCCATTCGACCCACAATGTTCAAACTTCATAGGATGATTGTCCATATTGGGAAGAAGACCCCTATTGATTTTGGGGTCACAAGGTCAAAGGTCAAGGTCACTATGACCTTGATACTGAAAACAGTTTCCGGAGCATAACTTAAGTTCCAATTGACCCACAATGTTCAAACTTCATAGGATGATTGTCCATATTGGGAAGAAGACCCCTATTGATTTTGGGGTCAAAAGGTCAAAGGTCAAGGTCATTATTACCTTAAAACTGAAAACAGTTTCCGGAGCATAACTTAACTTCCATTCGACCCACAATGTTCAAACTTCATAGGATGATTGTCCATATTGGGTAGAAGACCCCTATTGATTTTGGGGTCACAAGGTTAAAGGTCAAGGTCACTATTACCTTGATACTGAAAACAGTTTCCGGAGCATAACTTAAGTTCCAATTGGCCCACAATGTTCAAACTTCATAGGATGATTGTCCATATTGGGTAGAAGACCCCTATTGATTTTGGGGTCAAAAGGTCAAAGTCACTATTACCTTAAAACTGAAAACGGTTTCCGGAGCATAACTTAAGTTCCATTCGACCCACAATGTTCAAACTTCATAGGATGATTGTCCATATTGGGAAGAAGACCCCTATTGATTTTGGGGTCACAAGGTCAAGTCAAGGTCACTATGACCTTGATACTGAAAACAGTTTTCGGAGCATAACTTAAGTTCCAATTGGCCCACAATGTTCAAACTTCATAGGATGATTGTCCATATTGGGTAGAAGACCCCTATTGATTTTGGGGTCAAAAGGTCAAGGTCACTATTACCTTAAAACTGAAAACAGTTTCCAGAGCATAACTTAAGTTCCATTCGACCCACAATGTTCAAACTTCATAGGATGATTGTCCATATTGGGAAGAAGACCCCTATTGATTTTGGGGTCACAAAGTCAAAGGTCAAGGTCACTATGACCTTGATACTGAAAACAGTTTCCGGAGCATAACTTAAGTTCCAATTGGCCCACAATGTTCAAACTACATAGGATGATTGTCCATATTGGGTAGAAGACCCCTATTGATTTTAGGGTCAAAAGGTCAAAGGTCAAGGTCACTATTACCTTATAAATGAAAACAGTTTCCAGAGCATAACTTAAGTTCCATTCGACCCACAATGTTCAAACTTCATAGGATGATTGTCCATATTGGGTAGAAGACCCCTATTGATTTTGGGGTCACAAGGTCAAAGGTGAAGGTCACTATTACATTGATACTGAAAAATATGTTTCCACGCATAACTTAAGTTCCATTTGACCCACAATGTTCAAACTTCATAGGATGATTGTCCATATTGGGTAGAAGACCCCTGTTGATTTTGGGGTCAAAAGGTCAAAGGTGAAGGTCACTATTACCTTGATACTGAAAACAGTTGCCGGAGCATATGTTAAGTTCCATTTGGCCCACAATGTTCAAACTTCATAGGATGATTGTCCATATTGGGTAGAAGACCCCTATTGATTTTGGGGTCAAAAGGTCAACTGTTAAGGTCATCCTTACTAAAAAAAAAAAAATACTTTCGGGCATATAATGCTCCGCCTAGCGGTGCTCTTGTTGCACTTTGAAAGTAGGTATGATTAAGCTATTCTGGGAAGTTGGATATATCTTAAGTTTTATCTGTACCAATGGCTTCATACTGCACACTCTTATCAATACTA